ATAGCATATAAAGGCGCACAGGATCCTGAAAATGGCCTCTTAACAACTATAGTTGTTACAGGGCAGGGGAATTGTTGTTTAGTTGTTTAGTCGTGTCTGACTCTTCGTGACCCCATGGACCAGAGCACGCCAGGCACTTCTGTCTTCCACTGCCTCCTGCAGTTTGGTCAAACTCATGCTGGTAGCTTCGAGAACACTGTCCAACCATCTTGTCCTCTGTCGTCCCCTTCTCCTTGTGCCCTCAGTCTTTCCCAACATCAGGGTCTTTTCCAGGGAGTCTTCTCTTCTCATGAGGTGGCCAAAGTATTGGAGCCTCAGCTTCAGGATCTATCCTTCCAGTGAGCACTCAGGGCTGATTTCCTTAAGAATGGATAGGTTTGATCTTCTTGCAGTCCATGGGACTCTCAAGAGTCTCCTCCAGCACCATAATTCAAAAGCATCAATTCTTCGGCGATCAGCCTTCTTTATGGTCCAGCTCTCACTTCCATACATCACTACTGGGAAAACCATAGCTTTAACTATATGGACCTTTGTTGGCAAGGTGATGTCTCTGCTTTTTAGGCAGGGGAATAGTCTATTGGAAAATTGCTTGCAGATACCAGCTCGTGGAATTATAGGACCAACTAAATTGAAAATAATACCTCCCGATTCTTTCGAAAAGCGTCTTCCTATGCTGTTCACCACAGCCTCGGTGACAGATTTCAAGGGGCAGGACCCTAGTGAATGAGGATCATAGAATGCCGTTTCAGTTTCGTCGGAGGGTTTTGGGGTGGCGGATGGGAAATTGGATTAGCAAGGAGATCTTGGAAATATGTTCCAGGTGACTGTTTGAGCGGGGAGCCAACCTTGCTTTCTTAGCAGCAGGGGTGGGGTTAAGACGGATTTGCATGAAGTGCCCTGCATTATTTATGTCGCTGTCATCATCATCATCGTCATCATTACAGCTTAAAGTTTTAGGGGAAGTTTGAGATCTCCAGATTATATATGTGAGCTAATTCTCAGTAAACTTGGAAGTTTGTTATACTGGCATTGCTTGTTCCCCATTCTGACCCACCAAGTCAGGAATGGAGAGTAACGTAAAACACATGCTTTCGGCGGGGTGACTTAACTGACACTGCTATTACTGGTATTAAGGGAATCTCCATGGTGCTTATTATCGGTCATTTTCGAATATGTAGCAGGACCCAGCTGTTGCCTGCAGGGTTCCCATATAATTTCAACAATCCTGGCTCACGGCAACATGCTTGCACAGCTCAGGGGTGCTCTGTAGGAAACAATTATTTCCAGGAGGTTTAAAACTCAGGCTTACAAATTCGAAACGATTCCTGTCTTAGATGTGGAATAACTGGATTATTTGCAGAAATGGAACAATGCAGTAGTCTACTTTTATTGTGTTGTTTTTTTCAGTTGATCCTTCCAGACTAGACCGATGGAAAGTTGAAGTTAATTCAGTATGTAGTCTGCTGGGAATGGCAGAGTTTTTGTTTTTTTAAATGTACAATAGTTGCAAAAGATCAATTAGGCTCTTTTTGTCAGTATCCAATCACCATTTTTTGATAGATGCATAAACATTTACATATATATATTCTTGGGGCGGGGAGGTTAAGGAGATTTGAAAGAGCTGCCACTGCTCCTAGTGACTGGCCTACTTCTCTGGTAAACAAGGTTTTTTCTTCATTATTGGGGGGGGGGGGACGACTGCAAAACCTTCAGTCTCAGTAACTACAGCGGTACCTCGGGTTAAGTACTTAATTTGTTCCGGAGGTCCGTACTTAACCTGAAACTGTACTTAACCTGAAGCACCACTTTAGCTAATGGGGCCTTCTGCTGCTGCCGCGCTGCGCCGCTGGAGCACCATTTCTGTTCTCATCCTGAAGCAAAGTTCTTAACCTGAAGCACTATTTCCAGGTTATCGGAGTCTGTAACCTGAAGCGTATGTAACCTGAAACGTATGTAACCCGAGGTACCACTGTACTTCAATGGGCGCAAGACCTGCAGGAGAAGCGCTGAGGGCCTTCTGGCGGTTCCCTCCCGGCGAGAAGCCAAGTTACAGTGAACCAGGCAGAGGGCCTTCTCTGTAGTGGCACCCGCCCTGTGGAACGCCCTCCCACCAGATGTCAAAGAGAACAACAACTACCAGACTTTTAGAAGACATCTGAAGGCAGCCCTGTTTAGGGAATCTTTTAATGTTTGATGCATTACGATATTTTAATATTTTGTTGGAAGCCGTCCAGAGTCACTGGGGAAGCCCAGCCAGATGGGCGGGGTATAAATAATAAATTGTTGTTGTTGTTGTTGTTAACTCCTATGCACATCCTTTGTGCCATGCTCCTGATGTTCCCTTCTTTAGGTGGCTTGCCAAAGTCCCAGAATCTTTCAGATGCAGAACAGGACCTTATTTTTGTGCTTGTGTAACCCAAGAAGACTAAGCACCACTGCAACTTAATTTGAGGCCACAGCCTCTCCATCTGGTTGCTGAGAGTTCCACAGAGCGATACAGAACTGTGGAAGAAAAGGCAGGACTTCCATGGGGAAGGTAGGTCTTAAATCCCCTTGGCAAAAAAGTTTCCCTTCTCAGTGTGTGTCTACCACCGAATTGATATTGCCCAGCTATTAGATGAGGCACCCACAACGAAACAAATGTGGCAAAAAGGACGGGATAGGGAACAGCATCATTTTTCATGAGCTTTGTTTCTACACCTAAAAAAGTAAAAACCTCGAGACACTTTATTTCTCTTGAAAGAGAGAGATAATAGAATTACAGTTGTACCTCGGGTTAAGTACTTAATTCGTTCCGGAGGTCTGTTCTTAACCTGAAACTGTTCTTAATCTGAAGCACCACTTTAGTTAATGGGGCCTCCTGCTGCTGCTGCGCCACTGGAGCACGATTTCTGTTTTCATCCTGAAGCAAAGTTCTTAACCTGAAGCACTATTTCTGGGTTAGCGGAGTCTGTAACCTGAAGCGTATGTAACCTGAGGTACCACTGTATAGAACTGTTGAGTTGGAAGCGACCCTGAGGATCATCTAGTCCAACCCCCTGCCGTGCAGTTGTCCCATAGGGGGATCGAACCTTCAACCTTGACATGCTATGCTTCATGAAGGCATGCCTTCCTGGGAAGGACTAGCTCAGTGGCAGAGCATCTCCCTTGCTTGGAAAAAGCCCATGCTCAATCTCCAACATCTCCAGGTCAGGCTGGGAGAGAACCATGCCTGAAAATCTGAAGAAGTGCTGCTCTCAGTCAATGTAGTCAGTACTGACCTAGATGAGCTTCCTTTGCCTTCAAAAAGCCAGGCAATGCAGGTGAGATGCATGGTGGAAGTGGATTCAACCAGCATCAATTTGTAGCAGAGAATCCAAACTCTCTTAACAACCAAGGCCGAAACCAAGTGATTATGTTTGCGGTAGATGAAGACACATTGGTCTGTCTTCAGTGAGGTGGTGCAGCGAAGTGTGATAAGCAAACAAGGCCCGAGGCTGCGCGAGGAGAGGGCTAACCTTTTTCTTTGTCTCCGTGCTAATGCATCTTGAGTCTAGAATTAACAGATTAATAAGAATGTTATTCACACGGACATGTATAAGCAGCTTGGGAACTCTGTCAGATCCAACTCCTTTCCTGATCCTGGAGACTGTTCCATTTAATAACTCTCAAACATCCTTCCCTGTTAAGTTGATGTCTAGCATTTTAAAAAGATCTGCATGGGAGGTACTGCAGGGGTCGGCCATCAGGGAGACGAAGAATGCCGAAAGAAAACGGATGGAAAATGTACCCTAACTCAAAAAACAATGCAATAAATTAAGCAAAATTGGGGGAGGAGAAGCTGATATATATTGCCTACGAATACTACCTTGTTTCCCTTTCTTTCAGCCTCTATTTGGGTTCTTTATGATCAAACCACTATCCCAGCTCTTGCTCTGCAATGTGCTTGGGCCAGTTGACTAACGTTGAGTATGACTGATGGCAGCTTTCAACAACAATAGGAGAATTACTCACCCTAATCCCTGGAAACTTGCAACGCTCTATGAAAGAGCCACCTTGCTGTTTATCAAAGGAGCCTGTAAAGTTGATCCGAGCGTTTTTGTATATTGACAAAGGCTACGAAAACTGGTGATAACACGGAAGATCCTGGTTTCTTCTCAAGGATGTGGGCAAGGACACAGGAACCTCATTCTCTCTTCCCACAGTTAACAGGAAACCAGCCATTGGGATGCCACGCTCATGTTTCAAATCCACACTGTGTTCACCTCTTGCGATGTCTGAAGATCTCATACAATGCCATCTGCAACATGTTTCATGGGCAGTTGGCATAATGGAGACTCCTGCTTTTCCTCTCAGGAATTGGGTTATTTGGGAATTGGGAATTTTCATCCTGAGGGCCACATTTCTTCCTGATCAGCCTTTCAGGGGCCACTTTGCATTGGTGGGTACAGCCAAAGGTAAAAGTTGGGGCACAGCAACAAAGGTCATTTGGTTGGTTCATGTTTAAAATATAGCTGCTGAAAGACACTATGCTCCCAGAATATTGTACGGGACTTAAACAAACAGTCTCTGATGCCCTCAGTTGGCTGATTCACTAATTCTAAATATGGCAGTGGCAATTATTATTTTTTAGCTATGTAAAGGCAGCATTATTAACACTAGAAAGAAATTTCAGCCAACATTGTACTGTAGGATATATATATTTTTAAGCTCCTTAACAAACTATGGTTGAGAAGGTTTTTTCTTGCCTCACACACCAAGACTGCATGAAAGACTCTCCTGCTGTAGACCCAATATCTTTACTCGCCCTTCATCACGATTTTCTTGGCACTAAAGCCAGGAATGAGTATTCCGAAATTCAGTGCTAACGCGGTGCCTAACCCAATGAATGTCGAGAGCAAAGAGCAAATGCACTGTCGTATCTGAAATTATGGTGGTGGGGGAGACTCAGAAATGTGCCTCTCTTGGAATCATAGAGTTGGAAGGGACCCTGAGGACCATCTAGTCCAGAAATATGTAGCTGCCCCATACAGGGATCGAACCTGCAACCTTGACGATGTCAGCACCACACTCTAACCAACTGAGCTAATGTGATGCTTATCTTAACTATTAGTTTTGTCATGGCCATCCCAACTAAACATACGTGTTTGAGAAACAAGGGGCAAATTTACCAGAGCTTGCTATTCACATTTTTTAAAAAGTGAAACACCCTTTATTGCAGTCAACTTTTATGTGGTCCGCACAAAAATTTACAGAATTGTTTTGAATGTTTAACTATGCAGGGTAAATCTATGTACTAGTATGCAACTGTTGTCTCTGATATGTAATCTCTTCCTCTCTCCTCTCCTCTTTTAATACGGAAAGCAGCTATACAGTATAATTCATTATATTTAAGACAGAGACCAGGTTCAGATGTCACATTAGACCAGAATTTATTTTAAATTATAGTGTAATGTGTGAGAGCAGTGTCCTGATTCGCTCCTTCCCTGCTCCTGTTTGTGCTATACCAGAAAGTAAGGTGGATGAGGAGGAAAAACAGGCTGGCTTAGCATTGCGCACGACGCAGCATTTGCGATTTGTTTCTTTCAAGCAAACCACAGTTGGGGAAGCCAAGGCTGCTTTAGAGTAAACAGTGGTTTAACGTGACACACAGAACATCTCTTCTGTCCTTTGCTGTGTTTTTAAAGCAAAGTTCTTTTGAGTTTTCTATCCAGTTGTACTTTAAACTTCAAAGAATTTGCAAGCGCAGGATCACATGGGACTGGCCAGTTCTGTGTGACTCAGCAGTTGTCATCTTAATGTTCAGGCAGTAGAATTACATCATGGGAAGTAAACTTTTCTGAGTAATCTACTATGCAAGATCCATCTGTCGACCACACCTGTGTGCATGTGTCTTTCCTTTCATGAATGCCAGAGCATTTCCTCCCAACCTCTCACTGACTTTGTAAAAGGAAAGAAAAAGAAGTTGGGGTGGGGAGAGAGACATGTCTGTGCTTATTAGCCCTTACTTGTGCAGCAGTAAGCAGTTGTCATAATTTGCAGCTGTCTGTAGGTTACATTTGCATTTTTGCAATTGTTGCATAGTATTTGGGCTCGGTTCAAAAGTGCCGGTGCTCACCTTTTAAAATCCTGAGTGCCTTAAGACCCAAGTATCTGCTTGACTCTTGGGAGAGATCTAGCATTGTGGACCACATGCACATGGTTTTGCACATGTGGCTTTTGCATGCGCCGCTACTAATCCAGCGGGTGATGGATAAGCAGAAATGTGCTTTCACAAGCTAATAATCACTATCTCTTGATCAGGGTCTGCCTGATCTGCAGATAGTGTACTACAAAAGCATGCATTTCCCTTATCCTTGATCAATCTGAATTCAAACTTTTTTTGCAACTTGATAAAAAGGCCATAGCTGTCAACTTTTCCCTTTTCTTGCGAGGAATCCTATTCGGAATAAGGGAAACGTTGACAGCTATGAGAAAGGCACTGGTTCATTAGCTATTAGAACGCCATTCAAACTATTTGTTCTTTAAACTATTTGGCAGCTTTATTTTTTAAACCTTCAGTGTGCTCCTTATCAAAGACAATGTTTATAAGACTCACACCGAATATCTCGGGTTACAGATCAAGTGCGAGCTTTAAATATGTTTTTGAGTGCAAATGAATAAAAAGGGGATGCAGTACGTATTAGCAAGTGCCCCATACATTGGAATCTGTTGCGTTTTCCCAGGACCATGTAGGAGTCGTGTTAACCAGCGCTTAAAACATGTTGGTGTCATAAAACATATCGCTCACCCAACGGCCAGAACCCAGTTCACAGATGTTGGAACGGTTTGAGTCTATTTTGGGGACTGAATAGGGTGAAAAGGCTGGGTTTGTTGAAGAGTAGAATACCTATAGAGGCCTTTTCTGCAAGCAATACCATGACTTCATTACCATGTCAATTCTGGGAAAGGCCTCTGATTTAACACAGCAGTTGGCTGAATCCATATGGAGCTGATGAACCTCTGAATGAATAGTGAATGGAAAAACTGCTGGAATCTGCTTTCAGCTTTTTGTTCCCAGGATGACCAATGTAAAAGAGCTAAGGCCTATACAGCGCAGATGGTATAAAGGAGTAAGAATCCTGCACGTTTTAAATTTGGTCTTTTATCCTGCATTGTTCGGGCGTCTGTAACTAAAGTATAAATACCAAGATTCCCATGTCTCTCTGCCCCCGCTCCCCCCACCAAAAAATAATAATAATTCTGGGTTGGTGCAGGCTACCATTCAAGCCCAACATTTTGTAAAATCTGCATACATATTGTAGCAAGTTACCATTTGGTAATTGGTCATCTGGGCTGATCGTCTTCTTGACTATTATTATTTATTGTGTTATGAATGAAAGCCAACTTGTGGGGAAAGAGGGGTTCAGAGGCAGACCTCCAAGTGTCCCTATTTTCCAGGGACAGTCCTGGATTTTCAGAAGACGTCCCGGTTTCTGATTTGATCCCAGAATGTCCCACTTTCCTCAGGACATTCCTGTTTTCATTGGAGAAATGGTAGAGGGTAGGGTAGGACATCCATAATTTCGTCAGAGAAATGTTGGATGGTATGGCGAGCCAGTGTGGTGTAGTGGTTAAGAGTGGTGGACTCGTAATCTGGTGAACAGGGTTTGCTTCCCTGCTTCTCCACGTGCAGCTGCTGGATGATCTTGGGCAAGTCACACTTCTCTGAAGTCTCTCAGCCTCACTTGCCTCACAGAGTGTTTGTTGTGGGGGAGGAAATAAAAGGAGATTGTGAGCTGCTTTGAGACTCCTTAGGGTAGTGATAAAGCGGGATATCTCTTCTTCTTATGCAATCCCACAAGCCAAGGAGATAAGTAACTATATAACATTTAGAAGACATCTGAATGCAGCCCTGTATAGAGAAGTTTTTCTAATGTTTAATGTTTTATTATGTTTTTATAAGCCATCCAGAGTGACTGGGGCAACCCAGTCAGATGGGCGGGGTATAATAATAATAATAATACAGTGGTACCTCGAGTTAAGTACTTAATTCGTTCCGGAGGTCTGTTCTTAACCTGAAGCACCACTTTAGCTAATGGGGCCTCCTGCTGCTGCCGCGCCGCCGGAGCACGATTTCTGTTCTCATCCTGAAGCAAAGTTCTTAACCTGAAGCATTATTTCTGGGTTAGCGGAGTCTGTAACCTGAAGCGTATGTAACCTGAGGTACCACTCTAATAATAATAATAATAATAATAATAATAATAGATGTCCCTATTTTCATTGGATAAATGTTGGAGGGTATGGAAACCAGCAGCAGCCTATACACAGCAAAAGCGGTGGTAGTGGTGTTTTAAAATGCATGTTGTCCAACAGCAGACCAAGCAAGAATGGAAATGTGAAGTGTGATAGTAAAAAAGCCGGGGAAGGGAGTTCTGGAATTCCTTCCGTTCACACTATGTGGTGGGAATATGCAGATGTTCCCATTGACACAGCCATGTACGTCCACTAGGGTTACATGCTTTAAGAGTTCGACACATTGCTGCAAGTGCCAATACAGTAAATCAAAAGGCTCTGTGGCATTATCTGGTTTCCTTTTTGGCTTGAGAAGTTAGAACAGATGTCACCAGAGAGGACAAAATGGATTTTACCCACGGAGAGGAGCTTTATTGCCGCTCTTTAGTAGGAAGTCCCTTGAAATGCTAATGGACACAGTTTGTGTCGCTGGGTTTGCATACAGAGGGTGGGAAACGGCTCTGATCCCTAAGAGGCGGAGGTGGGGGGGGGGAGGCAGGGGGAGAGAAGAGAAAACCCTTTTGTTATTAATCAAGGATATCTGCTGCTTCAACAGCAAAGCACGTTAAATGGTGCAGAGACAGATCTCTCCCCAGCAATCTCCTGCAAACACACATACACACAAACCGCTGAACATTTTTTGACAAGATACAACGTACATGTATCATAGCTCCGTTGAATCTGCAAAGATGTTTTATCCCCTTCTTATTGCACAGAGGACACACACAGTGAAACAGCGCGGTGGGTTGCCCCCCATCTCTCCTACTCAATATTCCAATTCTTTGCAGTCCTGTTTCTTTCAGCAATCTGATAATTCAAGACTGGCTAAGCATCCTTTGCAGGCCAGGCTGTTCCGTATTTAAAGTCCTGGCACATTGAGGAGGAGACTGTTTGATTCCACGAAAAGAACCCACCAGAGACATCGCACTCGCTTAATATCGGTGATGCTGAGCTCCTGTTCAGCACCTGTGTGCTCTCAGACATCAAAGCACAATGCTGACTGGCTTGAAAAACCACTCTCTGCTTTCTTACAGACTTCCCAGAGAACAAGTTTGGTTCCATTGTTCAGTGTCTGAAATGAAAATGGACCGTGCATATTATTCCTCAGATTTTACAACAGGTAAATTCCAGTCAAAAATGTTTGCTGTGGCATAAATATTTCCAAAGTTACAGGGAAGTTATTGGGGAAAGTGAAATTAAGTACAATAAATTTCCCGCAAAAGTATTGTTACATGCCACCCCAATATCGACAGCAGTGCAAGATGCCAGGGATACCAGGCATGCCTACCCGGGTTTATGTTTCTTTTTGGAAAGTGAGGCACAGCAGAGACTGATGTCTTAATGACATATGGTTTATTTACACATATATCATTACTGTGTGCTGATGGGTCATTACCTCCGGGCAACCACCTACAAGGAAATTAATCTGTCTTGATCAGTTCTTAACCCATGTTGATTCCCTAAGATTTAGAAGTGCCTAATACACAGTTTGGGACGCGGGTGGTGCTGTGGGTTAAACCACAGAGCCTAGGACTTGCCAATCAGAAGGTCGGCAGTTCGAATCCCCGCGACGGGGTGAGCTCCTGTTGCTCGGTCCCTGCTCCTGCCAACCTAGCAGTTCGAAAGCACATCAAAGTGCAAGTAGATAAATAGGTACCGCTCCAGCGGGAAGGTAAACGGCATTTCCGTGTGCTGCTCTGGTTCGCCAGAAGCGGCTTAGTCATGCTGGCCACATGACCTAGAAGCTGTACGCAGGCTCCCTCGGCCAATAAAGTGAGATGAGTGCCGCAACCCCAAAGTTAGCCACGACTGGACCTAATAGT